CTCACTTAGATAGGCAAATATGAAACAGTAGATGAGGACATTTTATTGTAAAATGTAAGACACAGGAATGGAAGAGTTGTTCTGTTGTCTCCCTTTGCTTGTTATACTGTTTTTTAGTTTTGTTCTGTTTGTTTGTTTGTTTTTTGCATTACTTTTTTGTGAAAAAGGGTGTACAATTGATAACAGATATTATTTGCAGCCTTACCTTGAGTTTCCAGTTTCTGCTTTTTGCAATGCAATTTCTTCAGCATGTCTGGCTGCCATAACTGCATTTTCAATACGTTCTTTTAGTTTTGAGGTTCTTACGAAAAGTTTAGTTTTCTTCCCCGAGGAGATCAATACATTATTTTTGTATTTCCCTTCTTCCCTTGTACCATCTTTAAAAGTTGTTACTCCATAGCCGTATTTTTTGTTGTTATACCACTCTCCTTCATACTTGAGTCCATCTGTCCTTTTACTGATACCAAATCCAGAACGTTTGTCATTCTTCCATTCTCCAGCATAACTCTCAGTGGTATTAATATCTCCTATATCATCTTGGCTTATAAAACTGTGATTACTCTCCTGGTCAGTTTTCATGGAGGCATCCGTTACTCCAGACTGTACTGAATTAGCACTGATTCTGCTTATGCTGCTGATGGTGCTGCGCATAGATCCTGTAGGCCTTCCCGGCCTCGCAGCAGACTCGTTGATGTCTCCTGTACTTTTCTGTTTGCGTAGTTTTAGCCCAGAAAGAAAAGACTTCTTTAGACTGGAACGTCCATGTTTGTCAAATATGGATTTACGCCGCGTTGATAAATCCTCCTCTGCGTGTGCTCGCAGGACAAATCCTCCACGACTCTCGTCCAGTTTTTTGTCTCTTTCTTTGACCACTTTGTCGTCTTCTTGCTCACTGCGTAGTGAGGTCAGGGAGTCCCGCATTGCCTTGGGACGATAGTGTGAAGCCAGCCCATAGGTGACGCTCTGTCGTACACCATATCCATGTCTGGTGCCTCGCAACCACTGGCCTGCATACGTGCCTAGAAAACCAGAAATAAAGTGGGTAAATAAATTGATACTTGGGCTAATTCCTTGTTATGTACATTTATCAAAAATGTACATTATTTTTCAATGAGGATCATTATTTTATTTTATATATAAAATCATTGAAAATAGCTGTAGCCTTTAACAAGTATATCAGCAGATAATAAATAAAATGTACAGCGTTTCACTGTAAAAAAAAAAGTTATTTTAAATGCAATGTTTCCTTCATATTTCTCCTTTTTCGCATTTGTGTTATGATTGAACTCTCACACGTGCTATTCACTATCTTAATTTTGTATCAACTAAAACTGATAATTCCCAACAGCTTTTACAATTCAATGACTGTGTTCGAATTATCTTTCCTCAAACCAAGAGAGAGTAGAATTAGCAGACATGTTGGCATGGGTTACAAAAAACAGGTGTGTTTTAACTGGCAATTTTGTCTTAAGTGGTGTACTTTGTTCTTTCTTTTTTTCTGACATGCTGTGATGACTACCAAATGAAGACTAGAGAATTCCCAGCGAGCTTAAAATTCAGCTTGGATATATATCCATTAATCTGCAATGTCACCTGAATCCAAAGCAATTAATACATGGGACATAATTCACTTTTGTTGTCTTGTGCAGAATCAATGGAAATGTAATTGAGAAGCGACTTGACTGATTTCTAAGGTAAATGTGACAAACAAAATGCAGCTTCTTCTTACAAAAAAATACCCATTTATTGAATCTGGTCTTTCAATTTACATTTATGAAAACAAGTGCTGAGGTTATATGCATTTTTTAAATAAAATATTGAAGAAAATTATCAATAATCAGATACCATTTTTTTCATTTGCTGTATGTCAGTGATATGTACCAATAGAATTCAGCCAATGGAGGGCACCAGTGCATACCAGGTACAATGAGAGTTCTGCATGGCTCGAAATGGCCTCGTGTACACAGCAAGATTATACTTGAATATAATCCCAACCAAGTCCCAACTGAGTAAGATAATTTTATTCATACTCATTGGCAACTCGTCTCAAGAGTACAGTGTAGTTAGCAGTATTAGATAAAAAGAGAGACGGGGGCCCATTTAAGCCTCATGGGTTTCAACTTGGTTAGATACAGGGCAGATACCACAATGACTGGGTAAAAGTGGATTACTGCAAAGAAATATTAAGTCAGCATTATGTTATGCACCGTAGTGCATAGAATAAGACATATTATATATGCAGCAATTCATAAATTTATATAATTTTACCCTAAAATATTTCTTTCCCTAAGTATCAATCATTTAATTAACATTTTTAAACAAATAGATATACTTAAGAATTGTCAATAAACTGACTGAGCTTACAATATAAGATCTGATTTTTGCTTCACAGATAGATGAAAAATGTTTAATATTTTAACAATGGAAGTGAAAAAGCATTATCATTGAGAAGCTATCCTAATGATGGTATATATTACAAGCAGTATATGCAGGTAGATTTTCATTGTTTGTCAACCCATTTGGTGCTGGCATATAAATAGCTGTTGATAGTGGCTACACAGACAAGGACTATTTTCAACTGAACATAATCCTAACTTGTTTCATCATATGGCAGTGATATCTCATAGACAGTGTGCCCTAATAATTCTGTGTACACCTCATGTACAGATGCAGACACCATGGACAGGGATGGTTCTTTCAAATCACTCTTTTGGCAAGAGAAAAAAGTCCCTTCTAAATCATAATTTCCTTTACACTCATGGTCAAAGACCCATTTCTTTACAGATAAAGAAAACCTCCCTTTGAAATTACCAGCTAGGCTACAGGTCTAAGATATTTTCATCTTAGCTGAAGATTTCAAGATTTTTTAAAAAATTCAATATTTTTAACTATTTGTTATGAATGCTTTGGGTGTTACTGGATCTTTCAGTGACCACTTCTCCCTCCCCCCCCCAAAAAAAAAAATAGTTACCATGTGCATAATCAATTTCCATGCATCTGCCTACATGGAGATGTAACACCTACTTGCATCCAATAAGATATAGTGCCTAGGTTTTTTTTTTGTGCCAGGTATGTTCAGCTCATGCTGTTTACTATAAATATCAGTGTTGAGAGAGTTTATTTTGAGGTCCACTGTAACTATAATTTACAGGTCTCCCTCTGTTAAAAATGTGCCCTCCATACAGTCCTGCCCCCTACTGGTTGGTTTTTAGACTAGATGTTTACATCGGACCACCATTCTTCTGTATAGATTAAGTAATTATGAATTTTCTGGCAGTGTAAGAGGGCAGTTAAGGGCAACTTAAAGTTGTACATCTTAGAAGGTACTGAAAATGTGGATTTTAATTTATTAATGTACTCTAAATAAAAACTGTTCCTAGATGTATATAACATTTCAAAGAACACGTATATCCTTATCATATGATATGGGTTATGTTATTTAAAATGTTTGATGCTATAAAAAATAAAACGGGCATATGAAATGGCTCAGTGTGAAAGCGTGAACTATCATCAGCAGCTGAAAATGCAATTGTGCCAGCCACTGTGTTATAGTACTAGCATTTTACATCACAGCCATCATCAGCATCTTCATTGTCATCATCCATATCATCTAGAGATTTGTTTGTGATCACATCATTGAACCTTGTCATTTCCCAATTGTATATATATATATATATATATATATATATATATTCTTTTTTAAGTTACAAGAATAATTGCTTCAAAGCAACAGTTTTTTGTACTCCAGCATTTCTGTGCAATAATGAAGAAGGTATGCCATTTATGTATTTGGTTGCTTCTTTTGTTATTCACATTAGAATGGCACTTAACAATTGCATATCACATGCATTAATGCACAGAGTTAGCAAGCCAGTATATATACACTAATGACTTTTTTCATTTTTCATTTTCCCATTTATTTTTTACAACCGTTATCTTGCAAACAACAAACAAAGACTTTGAGGCACTTTCTGTTCTAATGGCACATTTACTTCACAGATAAAACATAGCAGAGGAAGTCTGGATCATTAGATGAACATTATCCCATACAAGTGCATATATCTACATCAGAGTCTAAACTGCGAGGATGCTACATTTACTATCTGTATGGCAGTTACTGCACAGTCATTAGATGGAAAATGCCATACAGACGTTAACTGAACAAGCCATGTTATTGGTTGCCATTGCGTGTGGTATAAAGTCTTCTTTGCAGGACCAGCCTGGCATTTTTTTCTTCTTTTTCTTCATTGTGACTACCTGAGTTTCTATATTGCCTGTTTCTGATAAGTCACAGACTGGCAGAGCTGAGGCAGAATAGTTGTAAAATTTCATTTGCATTAGACATAGAAGTCAAATGTAGAATTAGAAATGTAGAAATGTAGAGTTAAATGCTGCTGGTGAAATGCGAGATGTAACAATTTTATGAACAACTGCCAATACGAAACCACAATATAAAGTAAAAAGTGCCAGTTGCAAAACATCATCATCTAATTGCAGTGTGTTTTAAGTAATTGTGTTATGCTTTTAGTAAAACCCAACCAGTGACCTACGAAGACCCATGGCCTGGGAAATCTTCCTGCTAATGCAATTGAAGGGAATTACATTAATTACATCAAAATTATGTTTTGTGTGAGCTATTACCCAATGATGCTATCAATATAAATGACACTGGATGTTCCGGAAATTGAATCAAAATTGTGAAAACATGAGACATCATGCTCGTTTTACACCATACTGCTGTTTTTCTTGTACAGAGATTCTAAATTAAGACTAGGAAGAAAGAAGTTCATTTCATTACATTTGAGGTCTACAATTATTTCAGGGCCTTTGAAATCATTATCAAATATTTTTAGAATCATTGCAAAGAACTCATTAAACACAATTTTGAATTGATCCACAAATTAATATGTAGACATGGAGTGATTTCATAAAGATATTAAACTAATGAAATATTTTCATTGGATTTATTTAGACTTTGCATACCAGTTTACCACATGCTTGTGACTACAGCAAATGTTGACCTTGAATGGATCAGTATTTTTTAATGGAATTAGTAAAAATAATACCATCTTGACTATTTTAGACCACATTCAATTACACTGTAGATTTTATCACAATGTTTTATAAATCTGGATTTGTTTTGGTGATAAAACACTGTTACAGTAAAACTTTGCGTGACTTCTTAAGTAGCCAGTAATTACTTGATAGGTAATGTTGTATTGTTTTCTCCAGTATACAAACACTGCCTTATCAGTACAATGTTGGACTAGGCTCAAGTGAAATCATATAAGTTTATATGAACAACTCAAACCAAAAGTTTATCCCCAAGTGTCATGGGCTTAACCATCATTGTGTTCATAACACTGAGATGATATTTTACTGTGCAAAGTCTACATTTTTTTTTTCAAATCTATAAAATGTGGTGATAATTTGAATATAACTCAGTTGAATTCTGAAAAATAGAAGATTTTTATGCATTCACTCCTGCCACTCCTGAACAATCTTGCTTCAGTTCTCAATTGTTCACATTTCTCTTCAGTAAAATTGAATTGATCTTCTGCCTCCATATATTTTTTGCAAATCATGTGATGTAAAACATAAAGAGCGACACACATTAATTTTGGAATAAAAACTTTCTTCTCTCAAAGAAATATTAATTTCATGAGACTGAGAGAACAGTTTGAATACCACGGCCTGAACGTGAAACATTTAGGTCTGCTACCTCTTCTTCTTAAAGTAAGGGTCCTGGTGAGTAGTATAGCTGTAGTAAAAACCTCCAGACTGCTGTTACTGTTTGTTTTTATTTTAACACCAAGGGTGATGGAGGACCTCTCAAAATGGCTTAATGTCCAGGACAATTACCAAACAGTTTGTTCTGATTTGTGACTCATTGTGCACATTTATTGTGAGGGTGTTTTATTTAATTTTCAGGCCAGCTACAGGACTTTAAAACCATGTTTGTGTTGTAATTTTTAAGTAGCTTGTTTGGATATCTGACTCACAACTTCTTGAGCATGAT